GTCCCCTAAACAGGAAGGTCAGTTAAACAGATCAATCTGGGATCTAAATGATTAATGGCCCATAACCGCAGGAGATGATTGGAATGTAGATGAAGCTGTAAAAAGAGACTATCACCTGCCAGTTGAGTCTTAACCTTAAAAGACATTAGCATGACTGGTATTAGTGAAGACAAAGACACAAGTCAGCTATCCATCTTCTACTGCATAAAGCAGCCAATAGTAAACAAGACACCAAGATATATGAACATTTCAACTTAAATAAAGAATTGGAGCCTCCTCCTAAAGAAAATGGTCCATTCCTCCTGCTCAGAGCAGAGGAACAGATTCAATGTCTGCAACTGGATTTAAATCTTGGGGAATACAACTAGAGCCTCCCTACTACCAGAGCACCCCACCATGCATGCAAATCACCCCCACTGTGGCTGGTGAAGCTATTGCAAAGCTCAAAGGTTGTTGCACAGGGCTTGCAAAGCCACAATGCATTAGTTTAAATGAGAAGCATTGGCAGAAATTACTCACAATAGTGTGGTTGCTCCACAGTGTAGGTGATTTGCTCTGCATGTTGATTGTTTCTATTGACCAAAGAAAGTAAGAAGCTACTTAGGATATAAAAACATTTTAAAAAGAGTATGCCGGACCAAACAGAACTAGAGTGTTACTCAATCTTTACCCTTTTGATCCTGCATGTTTTATGCGTGTCGTGGCACCAAGGGTTGCATCAGCTTGTTATCATGTGTAGAAATAAGCCTGAGGATGATTAATTCCTTTAGTTAATGTGTGTTCAAACAGGGAAACACTTCCTAAGTAACAGTAATGGAAAATACTATAGTAGGCAACAACACTTATCAGTGTAGGTGTTACAGCTTTTGAATGGTGGGGGTAGGGAGGGGGGGGGGTTGATTGTGTTTCAACGCTCACCTGATTACAGGAAGATGTATGTTAATTAAAGAGGAAATGGGAAGAATACTGCATTCAAGAGGGATGTATTGTATCTGCATATGGCTGTAAAGTCAATCTGATCCGATTGTCTTTGTATGACCCTTTACTCTGCAGCAGGGGTCATGGGGGAGGAAGACAGACGGCACAATGCTAAACACTAAATATTTCTGACTGTGATTATATGTCAATAATGAGGATGTTGATACTACAAACAACTTTTAAATAATTACTTTGAAAGAAAAGCTTTCCAAAAGTGGCTAAAGCTTCAGAAAGCGGCAGTGGGCGGGATCAGGGGCTTAATTTTAGAACAGAACAGAAAAGAGTTAATGTCATACCTTGTATGTTACAGAAGCAGTAGAATGAATGGTTTTCTATATCTATATATACAAAAATGGAAATGGAAATAAACTCAAAAAATGAATTTGACCTGAAATATTTACAAAGTTGGTACAACTGTGCCTTGACATCCCATGTGTTGTGAATTGGCACAATAAAAATAAACTGAAATGAATTCACATATATTGCACAAATGTAGTTTTGAAGTAGAATAAGGGGAATTAACTGTTCAGTGTGCGAGTGAAACTGTGCCACTCGCTTGACAGTGGCTAGAAAGGAAGCTGTTGTGTCTCAGGTTGCAGCTTGAGCTGACCTACTTGAACACTGTGTGTTGTTGCTGGTGTTTGTTCTTTAGAATGGGACTGAATTTTGCCAAGAGGTTTAAAACGAAGACCAGGTTTTGCTTTAAAAATTATTTTATTTCTAAAAAATAGTATATACCTTATATCTCCAGCCAGCCATTAATAACATAGCAACCTTGTATTTGGGCCTCACAATTATTTTTGCTTATGCTGGTTGCAGAAAGCTTTCTCTATAGGTCACATTGGGTTCACCCGAGTGTAGCTGGGTTTTAAATGGGTATTACAGAAATCTGTTCGGATTGAGCAACACAACTAGAAACTGATGCAGATCCCACCTTTACCCATTGTGGTTCCATATCAGACTTATAAAAGCAAACAACATAAGGCCAATATGAAACCCAGAAACAATCCTATCTAGGCCTGTTTCTATAAAGACTGGTTGCATGACGTCTGAGTACAACAAGCCACAGCAGACCTTCTCTCAATACTGGAAAAAAAAATGTTAAAACATGTAACTTTCCACCAAATTAAAATCTCTTAGATGTCTTGCAAAATAGTTGGGCTACTCTAAAAGTGGAAATCTGCACTTCTTTGGTTCATGTCAGCCATATTTACCAGATAAACCGTTTGGAAAAACATTTATCTTAATCATGCAGGAAATGCAGTTTTATGTTTCTAATAAATGATATCTATTAGTAGGAAGTGTTTCAATAGAGGTCTTAATCTATCAAATTTCAAAGCAATAAACAGTGCTGGAACAGTTTACTCCTTTGCTAAACTGTATCCCCCATTTGACACCCAAATGTTGCCCTTCGGTCCCTTAACACCTCTATTTTGTACCCATGTTACTCAACATATTGCATATCAGGTTGTTTTTCTTTGCTTTTAAGATTCGTAAACATATCCAGTCCTCAAATAATTAAATACAAAATGTATCTTACATTATTCTTTTCTAAGTTTTTATCATTAATACCCTAATTACACCCTATTTAGCTGTTGAAATGGATACATGCTGAAGGCGGATATGACTTGACAAATGTTGTACCAAATGTGCAATGGCAAGGTTTATTATGGCTAGATTTTATATGTAGAGTTAGACAACTTTATTGTAATTTTGTATACACAGTGTATACAAAACAAAATTTTGTTTTATGCAGCTTTCAGACAGTGAATGTGTAATAGCTTAGCAATGAAAAGGAACATTTCCCTTTCATAAGGTGCATCAGTGATCGAATATAAACAGTGTGGGAGAAAAACATGGTGCAAAAGGCATTGATTCATTAATGTAACTTTGCTGCTGTAAACCATGTTAATGTCTGAAAAGTAGCATATGATAGTTTTTTTATTGGATATACCCCAAATGAACAGAGGCGTCAAGTAACGAAATACACATACTTCGTTACTGTACTTACCGTAAGTACACTTTTTAGGTATCTATACTTTACTCCATTACTTATTTTTCTTCCTACTCCTGACTTCTACTCATTACATTTTCACACGAGTATCTGTACTTTCTATTCCTTACATTTTAAAACAAATATTACTCATTACTTTTGGCTTCGGTTTAATGTTTATAAATATTTATTTCACGTCATGTGCGCCATCCAATGCAGATCATTGGTGCCATCCACATCTAGTGAAAACCAGTGTAATTGGATGAGTCATATAACGCAAACACTCATTGGTTACCTAAAGGAAATTAGCAAAGCAGGTGTTCTTCAAACTGCAAAAGCTAATTATCTATGCCATGCTACAACTTGGGATTCAGAAAACAATGTTAAAATGTCTAAAAGGTTGGACACAGGCGAGAGCGTATCGGAAGATAGAGACCAACAAGATCTCCCTCATCCTTGGCACCTATCTCAAAGAACTTTTCAAAATAATCGAAAAATTGAGCTTTCAATTCATATAGTGGCATCTGGCTGGTTTCTTTTTAAGGTTACTTTATACTTTTATACTTTAAGTAGTTTTCGGAGCACATTTTTCACTTTTACTTGAGAAAAGAGGTCAAGTTGATACTTCCAACTTTTACCAGAGTGTTTTTAAACTGCAGTATCTATACTTCTTCTTAAGTAACAAATGTGTGTACTTTTGAGACCACTGCAAATGAAACACTGTTTAGAACCACAGCATGGTTCTTCAATTCAGGTCCTATAGGTCCAATGATCTTCAATTTTTAGACACATATCTTACTTTCTTCACACCTCCTATCTGTGCATTTAAATTCTCCTCATCTTTGGCAATGACCTGCTTATTTGTCTCAGGTGTGTGGAAGCAGATAGCCTACATGTGAAAGGTGCAGAACGTCGGACCTATAAAGTATTCATCCACCTCCTATTAAAGGTTACATTCCTCTTAACCCTTTATAGGGCAAGTTAGTATTTTTGATCACTTGCATACCCCTTAAGAATGGAGTCCCCCACTCACCCCGTGCCTCAGTGAGGTCTAGAAGCACAAGATCTATATCCAGCCATTCAGCAAAGATACTGCTACATGGCTGTACATCTTATTTTGGCATTTGACCAATTAGATGAGCCTTTGAAAGATAAATAACCTACTGTAAATTAAGTTGGAGAGTTAAAAGTCATGACAAAAGGTAAAAACTGAGCCTGGTTCTGCTGGAAGTTAAAAGGGAGTTTTTCCTCTCCACTGTCGCTACAAGCATGCTTAGTGTAAGGGATTGCATTCGAGTCAATTAGTTGATGCAATCAACTGGTTTTTTTTAGATAGAAAACTTTGAATCAATTTGACTGGATGATCTGGTGAACTGTAAAGTGCCTTGAGATGACATGTGTTGTGAATTGGCATTATATAAATAAACTGAATTGAATTAAAAACCCTAATTGAAAAGTTAAAAAGTAAAGTTAAAAAGTTAATAAGCCTAGTTAACCCTTATTTTTAGGTTTATAAACTAAAAACTGTAAGTGCCAGAATCAGCATCAGTGCCTCTAAGGTGATGCTGTACCAAAAATAAAAAGTGTTTTTTAAGAATTCCTTATAGAAGCACTTTTTTTTCTCTTAATATATATTGTTGGTGTTTCTTTTCATTACATTGACATTCATTGTTGCCATCGAAATATCCATGTTTTTTGAATATTACAAAAGGTCTTGTTCTGGATTCCAATAACACTAGAAATTTTGATTTTCAAATTATTTCACTGAGAACCCTATTAAAGGGTTATGTGTATAGATTATGTTTAGGCTAGTTAAATGTCAGAACGTGTCTATTATATGTATAAAGGTACAACTACCCTGCATTAACCACAAAGAAAGTTGAATAAATAAGATGTGAGGGGTCAGTAAGCGCTGAGGCTAATCCAATTAAATGTTAAAACCTCTTGCCATCACCTACGTGCCGCTGTGGCAGTGCTCCGCCCTCTACACGCACGTGCGTTCTGTCAGCGCGGCTGGAGCAGCTTTTTATACGCATGCGCCGACAGTGGTTCGTAATGCCATCACCATCCTCATCCTCTGCCGCTGGACCGTCATTCTCTGAGCTGCTATCGCTCCACTGAGGCCAAGGACACCCGGGGCGACTCTCTCACAGGAAGACACCGGGCTTCAGTTGAGGAACACCCCCTCTACCGCGGTGAGTGAACCTGGGCTACCGACACGGCGCTTTGCCCTCCCAGTGTATGGCTGCTACATTACGACACATGATTACATCAACCGGTTTCATAGCGGAGCTTCAAATGTGGCGTGATGCTGCCGCATGGCGCTATTTTTACTTCCACATGTGGAGATGGTGATGGTGTCCGCTTCACGATCCGCTCACCGGAGCGGTCCAGTTTGAAACCGGTCCGTTTGGGTCCAACGGGCGTGAAATTTATGATTCATCTGATGGACGCGGCGCCTCTAAGACACGAGGAGCTGGTTTTTAACCGCAACGCAAGTTTGACACTAATTAAATTCCGCAGCTGGTATCGCGCTCTACTTGGTTTCAGTTTGATGTAACATGATGCAGCATCTGCAAAAAAGAAAATTTTATTTTAAAGTAAATTGTTTTAAAAAACAAATAAAAAACTCATTCGTTTTTTTTTTTTTTTTTTTTTTTGTTTTTTTTTTTTTTTTTTTCCTAAAAAAAAAAAAAAAAAATCAGTGGTTTTCATATTTTAGTTTTTTTTTTTCTACAAATAAATCCACCTCAGATTCGAATACTTTTTTTTTTTAATAGGTTTTAGCCCAGAGGTGACTAAATTTGGGCCCTCAAATTTCTTACCAAAAAGCTGTGAGGAGAGGGGGGGTGGGTGTCTCATTTAACTCTGTTTCCTCCTGTGGAGATTTTTGCACCTCCTTCTGTGGCCTTTATGCCTTCTGACTGTTTTGCATACCCTGGTAGTCTTTTTAGCATGTGTTGGGTTGATTGCATCCTCTTTTGTCCCCATTGTCTTCCAACTTCATGCAAATGAGAGATACTTTAAACTATCACCATGGAGACTTTAGACCAGGGGTCTCAAACTCATTTTTATATCAGGCCACTTTAACATTACTGGGTCTTTTAAAATAATGGCTGAACTGTAAATGAAACTTTTATCATCTTTACAAAGAGAGGGCTGCAATTATATTATAACTTAATTATTTGGCAGTGTTAATTAGCATCCACCTCATTTTGGGAAATTCTTGCCTATTTTGCATTCCCTAATGGAAAAGCAAATAACTTACGAACTGTGAGCTGAAATTACATGTGCAATACATTATTTGAAAGCTAAAACCCTCTAGTTTCTGAATATATAAATTAAATTTGAATGAGTAGAACACAGACCAAGCTACATCAGGTCAAACATGACTCAAAGTTTTTTTAATTCTCAAATGTCTTTTTTGAACAGGAGTAATAAAGACATTCTTAAGAAAAGGCTGGTCTCATTGTATTATATTTGTTCTCATTATGTTAACCAAAAATGCAGAAAATTTCAGACCTCCAGCTACAACAGTTCAAGAGCTGTGGGGTTTTGAACTTTAGGTGTCACCAGCGTCCCCAAACCTCTCCAAATGTGCCAAATGCTTTTACTATGCTTTACTATTTGACCAAAAAATTACACTGATTTAAACATGTAACACAAGTCTCAATTAAAACAAGGTAAACAAAACGATGGAGGGAAAGCAGGTGCATGCTAGGCATGGCTGCTGAATGCACTAATGAATCGGTGAACAGCTTTCATTTTAATATCCTTCATCAACTGAAAATTTTAAATTTAATTCAGTGTATTTATATTGCGCCTTTTCACAACATGTCCTCTTAAGGCACTTTACAGTTCATCAGATCATACAGTCAGACTGGTTAAATGTTGTCAATCTTAGGAAAACCAGCTGATTGCATCGAATCATTGACTCGAAGGCAATCCCTCACACCAAGCATGCCTGTAGCAACATTGGAGAGGGAAAAAACTCAATTTTAACAGGAAGAAACCTCCGGCAGAACCATGCTCTGTGTGAGCGGCCATCTGCTGACGCTGACTGGGGTTTAAGGAGACGGAAGCAGATGTACAGAATGGACCAAAGATGACCAGCTCCACAGGCGGCCCCATCCAGGAAACACAGCCAGGCAGACGAGCTCTGAGCCAGCTCCCATGTCAGAGGATGAAAGGGCACATACAGTTAGTCACAGTCAGAGAATGGGCCATGCTCCAACATCTATAAACAAAGGTATTGATGGCAGCAGCACAGCAGGTACTCCTCTCTGAGAGGGAGTCACAGGCAAACAGGAGAAGGCCAGATGAAGCTACTATGATCACAAAAAGCATGGGGATAATAAAGATAGAGGTCGAACGAAAAACTACTGAAGAAGGGAGAGATGGAATGATGAAATTGATTATAACTTTAATTCGGTTTTGTTGATATTCAATATAATGTATTCATTTTAATTATAAAACTCAGATTAATGTAAAGCTAATCCATTGATTGAAGTTGCATTAATCTCACTTCCATTCAAGCATCACATCTGGAGTTTAGCTTTGATATCCACCCCGGTTAAGATCTGGCTCATCTGCTCTGTACAGACCAATAAGAGTAACTAGGCAGCTCCAGGAGGTCAGTCACCTTAACAGAAAGATCGCATGACGGCCACACGCGCCGAGCTCGCAGGGAATCCATTGTCCCAGAACAGCCAGAGCTCCTTGTTTATTAATAGGCGTGTAACCAGGAGATATTTTCTAACAGTGTTGCAGAAAGTGAGTGACTGCAGTGTCATTCTCGGTGCCCTTTGCTTTCTTCGGGGCTTAGATGTTCCTGAGTGTTGGACGCTGAACCCTGACCTTTGTGAATGTCACAGTGTTACTGTTGCAGCTATTGTTTCATTTAAACCTCATTGTTTAAATCTCAGGCATAAGGTCAAAAAACACAGATTAAGCTCAGCCTCCACAAAAAACTTCACATCTTCACAATGTGGCCACAGATTTAAACCAATGTTAATTGAGAATACTTTGACCTTCACTGTCCTTTTGCACCTTAGCTGTTTGTTTTCTGCTCTCAGTTGTCTTTGTGCTGTAATTTTTTAAAGTTATTTACTTTTAATCTTAAAATTGATGCAATAGATTATGTAAGAGAATAATTTAAAACTAAATTCACAATCTCTCCTGTTGATACAGGAAGTTAGCTTAGTCCTACTGCACCTTTTCTGAAACAAGGAAACATGCTCTAGGTTTCCTAGTGTAATATTTGTTAGAGCTAATCTTTTATCGGTTTAAAGTGTTAAAAGTTCCAATGTGGCCAATTCCATATGAAATTGTATAGGGTATAGATATTTTGTAATCAAATGAGTATACTCCAAGGCAAATGGAGTGCCTCAGAGTACTAATTTAGCCAAAACTTAAAAAAATGATCAACTTTAAAAATATATAAACTTTAAAAAATTATACACTTAAAAAAAAAAAGCATTGAGTTTAGTCTTTTCATCTCTTCCGTTTGCGATGTATTTTAATGTAAAATCAATGTTTATAGTAACCTGTCCGTAGATCTAATGAAGTCTACCTCCTTTTTTTCCCCCTTAATGAATAGCTGCAGCCATAATTTTGAAGATCAGCTGTTTGTCGGCGTGCTGGTTTGCATTGGCATCACAAGTTCTTCACATGACTGTTTGGACTGATGCATCATGAGTTCCAGTACCTTTAATTTTATTTACGACGTCTTCTACGCTAATTGATGTTCTTTTGTTGTCCTGTAAAACCTGCTCCACCATGGATGAGGCAGCAGAGTAGGATTGTTCTTGTGGCCAAGTTTGAATGCACTGTACAATGTTTCTTCAAAACTTTCTTCCCCTGTACTTCTGACTGAATGACTGCATTGTCTTTAGCATAAAAAAGCAGAAAATTTGGATTAACAACATGGTAGTTTTGTTTTTTAGCTTCTGTTCTGGTGTAAAGAAGTTCAGGTAAATTTTTAACCTCCTCTTTCGTTGTGAATGAAGCTTCTATGGCGACTGAATGAATGCCCTCATTGAAAACTCCTCCAGGATTTGCCCCACTTTTGCTGGCATCCACGCACTGTACTGATGCCTATCTGTATTTCACTATGGAGCAGTGGGACCCCCACCCTCAGGGGAATGGAAACGCAGCTCTAGTCCCACTGGACTACTGCCCCAGACATTGAAATTGCCTAGATTTGTGTGTTGGGTGATGAATTTCTAGGTTATTTAAAACCTCTCATAACAGTGAATTTTTAGAGATGGACTGATGGATAGATGGTCTTAATATAAAGTGTTTTCATGGAATGTTTTTTGTTTTTCCCTTTAATTTAGTCTGGTCCACACTCTGCAACAAAAGCCATCATCAGGGTTAGACTGACAGTTGGCTAGAAAACCTGAGTGTTATGGTTGCTTTTCAGTCAGTAAATGGTTGAACTCTGGTTTATTTTGTCCTTTTCTGTATCAAGATGTGTTCAAAATAAACTAATGTTTCACATTTACTGGTCGGTAGTTTACACCCATGGTTTAGAACTTGACCTTCCTTGGTTGAACTTATAGACGCCCTCGGCCAAATGTCATCATGGAAACTAAACCGCAGCTGTTTTTTATTGTGATGTCTTGGATGCGAAGTTGCAGCTTTCTGTATTTTGTAGTGTGACTTTTCGGGCTGTTTTCATCTGCTATATCTACTGTAGGGTGTTAGGACTTTTTGTTGAAAGGCCCACGTGTCTAACTTCCAACATTTTTAGTTGTGCTGTCCTTGGATAGAAGGGGAACCACCCAGGCTGGAGGAGATCCAGTAGGCATGTGTTTGGACCAATCTGACCATCCATGATGAACAATATTTAATAGCTCAATGATTTATAGACTAAACCTTTACGTGTGGTTTGGGTTCCCCACTGCCTACATGTTTGAGATAAATGGTCTCTGGTTTAGATATAAGATCAGGTTTATTGAGTTCCAGTGAATGTTTCAAACTCCGCATCAGAAGGTCCATTTGGTGAACAATAGATTCATTTCGGGCTCTTAAAGTTTTGAAGGTACGTTTGATGTATGGCACCCGTTGTTGTATGTAAACTTACAGCTCTATAGGGTTGGGGTGTGGTACTTGAAATGCCTTAAATGAACATCTGTCTTTACTATAACTTGTGTTTAGGTTGGTGCAGCGGTGTTGCCCCCAGTCGTCATCACATTCCTGATCAGTACAGGAAGCCTGTGCAGGGTCTGAGGTCGAGTTCCCGCTCCTGAACACACTGCTGTCTAAGTTAACAGTGAGGCGCAGGAAACAGTAAGGAGGAGGGGCTTGTTTTTGTCAGTTGTTGTACTTGGAACAGCTGGGTGATCTGCTACAGAAACCGATCCAGTGTTTTCCTCTTAGCTGCAGCTCGCCTCCAACCGAGCGGCGGTTTACTCGGCTCAGCTGGACGTTCGCAGAGAGAGTTTGTTTTAAGGTGTATGAGTGCACTGCACCCTCTGTGAGGTCACCAGAGCTGGACGGGGCCAGTAGTGTGAGCCACACAAGACGGCAAATGTTTGCCAGCTTTACTCAGGAGCCCCTGGGTGACCTTCTGCTGTGACTTGCACTTCATTTAGGTCCACATAGATTAGAGGCCAGCTCTGTCCTGAGTTAGGTTGATATTTAATGCGGTTTAATTTGTCACCATTCAGCGTTTTAAAGGGATCAGCTGATCTGTTGTAGGGGGTGTATCTTTTGTAAAGTGTGATTGAATCAACCTTAAGGGCTCTTAGTTAAGTAAATTTCACAGACTGATTCTGGCAGCTGATGTCTGAGGTTTTATTAACCTGCTTCTGTGTTTAAAAACGAGAAAAGTAAAACCGTTGGGGGTCTGATCAAGGTTTTAGTGATGAAAGCACTATGTGAGCAGCGCCTTGACGAGGAAGTGGAACTGCCTCCATGCTTCTCTACGTATCTGTGTTTTAAGTTAAATGCGACTGAAAACCTTTGGGTTCTTAAATGAGAATCAGTCTGTTCTAAGCTGGGTGTTTGTGCTCTGGTGCTTTAGGGTCAAGTTGTTTCCATGCTTGTCAAACTGGACAGAAGTGGTTTGACTGTGATGCTTCCATTTTGGAAGTTATGACTCGTGTTTCTGGCATGGATCCCGTTTCCCTGTGTGGGAGGTTAATTTAAGATTTCTGCAGAGCCCATAAGGTGAAATGTGCCACGTGTCTGCATTCTGTGTGAATGGGGACAAGCTGAGTTTCTATCTGTACTTGATGCGCCTTCACTGAGACCCATGAATGTAATTATGGTTAATTGTTTGCTTACTCCACATCCTTTCTGGAACCACATTTGAGAAGATTTGGAACCCCCCCACCTTAAAAGCGGTTATTAAATTGGATAGAATATAAGCAGAGATACAAAACTGTATTGGAAATGTTTAAGAGGCCACAGCAAAAGTGAAAAATGGAGTGATTTTTCTAAAATGACACTACAAGATCAAATTAAATATGCAGCAGAATTGGATTAAGTGGGGGAACATTTTTGAAATATCCATGTAGTAGTTGGTTTTAAGGAAAAGTAAAAGAGCTGCAACTTGCAGCAGAGATGTATATACCCCATTTATACTACCTTTGAAAAACCGTGCCGAGACTGGTCCGAGCTCAGTACCTGAGATAACTTATCGTGTGTAAATGGAAAGCAAACTGAACTGAACCGAGCTAACTGCAGACCAGTTCCAGAGGTGGGCCTGGCTCGGTTTTTCCCTGGCTCGGTTCTCTAATAACAAGAGCGCATGAGCAGAACACGTCATCTCCGTCTGGCTGCACATCCCAATTCACACTCCATTCCAGTTGTTGGCGGGGATGCTCCTCCGGAAGTTGCTTGCCAACCAACCCAAACCAGAAGAACTACAAAAGACAATCGAAAGTCTTCTCCACTCAACATTTTAAATATGGCATTTTAAATAACACCGAAATACAGCAATAAATAATAACGTATAACTTTCTCAATGTGACGGGCGCCGCCATTTTGGTTTGCTTGATTCCCTCGTTCTTCTTCTTGTGTTTAAGGGCGGTTCGCAAACAACTTTTGGTGCATTACCGCCACCAACTGCTTGATTTCCTCCTTCAATACTGGCAGTAATACCACAGATCGTCACTAGGAAGCGAGGAGTCGAGTAACCTAGATAGCGTGATGTGTAAACTGTCGTCAGAACCAAGCTCGGCCTGGTTAACTGATCTGAGCTCGGACTGGTCTCGGCATGGATCGGTTTTTCAAGGGTAGTGTAAATGGGGTAATAAACTAGTTTGGGAGAGGTGATGGGCCTAAAGTCTAGTGGCAGTTGGACGGAGAGATCTGCGACAATGCTCATTGTTGCACATGAGGTCTCGATTTCTGCAACAGCTCTATCCATTTGGGGGAGGGACTAAAGGCAAAGTATCCACGGTCTCATGCAGTTTTAAATCCTGACTGGCTTAAACGTTTTATTAATCAGTATCTTTAAACATGAAATAAATTCATGTTTTAAGGTTTCAGTCCAGTGAGGAGTTGAAAGTCTTTCAAGCTGTATTTTTTTTTATTTTTTTTTTATTATAAACTGGTTTAGCAGGGCTTTCTGTAGGGATATAGGAAGCTACAGGTGCTGGTCATAAAATTAGAATATCATGAAAAAGTAGATTGATTTCAGTAATTCCATTTAAAAAGTGAAACTTGTATATTATATTCATACATTACATACAAACTCATATATTTCAGATGTTTATTTTGTTTAATTTTGATGATTACAAATGACAACAAATGAAAATCTCAAATTCATCATATCAGAAAATTAGAATATTGTGAAAAGGTTCAAAATTGATGGCCCCTGGTGCCACACTCTAATCAGCTAATTAACTCAAACCACCTGCAAAAGCCTTTAAATGGTCTATCAGTCTAGTTCTATAGGCTACACAATCATGGGGAAGACTGCTGACTTGACAGTTGTCCAAAAGACGACCATCGACACCTTGCACAAGGAGGGCAAGACACAAAAGGTCATCGCTAAAGAGGCTGGCTGTTCACAGAGCTCAGTGTCCAAGCACATTAATAGAGAGGCGAAGGGAAGGAAAAGATGTGGTCGAAAAAAGTGTACAAGCAAGAGAGATAACCGCACCCTGGAGAGGATTGTGAAACAAAACCCATTCAAAAATGTGGGGGAGATTCACAAAGAGTGGACTGCAGCTGGAGTGAGTGCTTCAAGAACCACCACACACAGACGTATGAAAGACATGGGTTTCTGCTGTCGCATTCCTTGTGTCAAGCCACTCTTGAACCACAGACAGCGTCAGAAGCGTCTTGCCTGGGCTAAAGAGAAACAGGACTGGACTGCTGGTGAGTGGTCCAAAGTCATGTTCTCTGATGAAAGTAAATTTTGCATTTCCTTTGGAAATCAAGGTCCCAGAGTCTGGAGGAAAAGAAGAGAGGCACTTCATCCACGTTGCTTGAAGTCCAGTGTAAAGTTTCCACAGTCAGTGATGGTTTGGGGTGCCATGTCATCTGCTGGTGTTGGTCCATTGTGTTTTCTGAGGTCCAGGGTCAACGCAGCCACATACCAGGAAGTTTTAGAGCACTTCATGCTTCCTGCAGCTGACCAACTTTTTGGAGATGCAGATTTCATTTTCCAACAGGACTTGGCACCTGCACACAGTGCCAAAGCTACCAGTACCTGGTTGAAGGACCATGGTATCCCTGTTCTTAATTGGCCAGCAAACTCTCCTGACCTTAACCCCATAGAAAATCTATGGGGTATTGTGAAGAAGAAGATGCAATACACCAGACCCAACAATTCAGAAGAGCTAAAAGCCACTATTAGAGCAACCTGGGCTATCATAACACCTGAGCAGTGCCACAGACTGATCGACTCCATGCCACGCCGCATTGCTGCAGTAATACAGGCCAAAGGAGGCCCAACTAAATACTGAGTGCTGTACATGCTCATACTTTTCATGTTCATACTTTTCAGTTGGCCAACATTTCTATAAATCCTTTGTTTTTATTGGTCTTCAGTAATATTCTAATTTTCTGATATGATGAATTTGAGATTTTCATTTGTTGTCATTTGTAATCATCAAAATTAAACAAAATAAACATCTGAAATATATGAGTTTGTATGTAATGTATGAATATAATATACAAGTTTCACTTTTTAAATGGAATTACTGAAATCAATCAACTTTTTCATGATATTCTAATTTTATGACCAGCACCTGTAAATGTGTAGCTGATGTAAGTGGAGTTGTGTCCTTAGCTGCAGCGAGCACAGAGGTGTTAACCAGTTATTCTTCGGTGTAAGGATTGTTGGAGCTCGGTTGTTTACTACCTGATCCAAGCTAAAAGCCTTGTAGGAAGCTTGACTTCTGGTTGTTAATTAGCTCCCACAAGGCTGGCCTGTCGTTTTGACCTAAAGCAATTTACTCTCCCCATCTTGACTGATGTGTAGGATGCTATTAATCTGCAGTTGGGTGGTGGCTGAACAGACTCTGTAGTTTGTGCACTGAATACCATGTAGGGTAAATAACACACAGAAGCAGAGTTGCTGTGGGATCAGAAATAGCAGTTGCATGTGACCTAAATAAAGGAAAAGATCTCTTGATAGAGGCTGTGGCACTGTGCATGGTTATTCAGTGACTGAGGATACTGGGCTGGTTAAAATAGGCAGCCTTTATCTCCAAACAAAATAACCTAGAATAAGCTTGTAGAGTAAACAGATGTAGTGTTTATAAGGAAATGTGTTGACATTTGGTATTGCTGACAAAAGCAGTTCTTTAGGCACATGATTTCTAGAAGCAAACTGATTTGCAGAAAAAACATCAGCTGCAGGGGCTCAGTTTCTTCTGGGGGCGTGTCCTGCAGCTTTATATGCGCCTGTGGTCCAACAGACCTGATTTTGAGCCCTTTTAATGACAGTGTTTTTTTTTTTTTTAGGCATTTTCAAACCGACTTGCATCTAAAAGTCGTACGAAAGTTGTCGGCTAAAACGATAATGCTTCAACCAATGTGTCGAAGGGTTGGCTGCTCTTCTGCACTGAAATGCAAAGAATTAAAATGTATGAAACTATTGCTTATTTTACCAATTTTGAAACCTTTTTTTTTTTTTTTTTTTTTCCCTCTCCACAGGTGCCGTTTTGAAACCCAATCAGAGGTTCAGAGTTGGTCTTCACCCGCACCATCTGCTTCATCATTCTGAGCAGACATGCCTGCAGCAGTGGGTGCGCCCATGGGATACACCCCGCCTGAGGGAGGCTGGGGCTGGGCTGTGGTGGTAGGTGCCTTCATCTGCATCGGCTTCTCCTACGCCTTCCCAAAGTCCATCACGGTGTTCTTCAAGGAGATCGAAATCATCTTTGATGCCACGCCCAGTCAGGTGTCCTGGATTTCCTCCATCATGCTGGCCGTCATGTACGGCGCAGGTAAGAGGACCAGGTGGTCTGTTGCAGATGACTTATCAAAATGGTTTAACAGCTGATGTTGTAGAGGTGGCTCATTAGAAATGATTAATGCTTCAGATAGTAAAATGTCAAAAAGGTAAAATCTCTACATGATTAGAGGGATAAGTGTTGAAGCCTTTCAGCCAGCTGTGCTGCAGTGCGTTCTCTGGTAGTTAATAAAAGCACTCTGAAACAGGAAATTATGGAAATTTTAGTTTTAAATGGCTTGCATATAAACTCTTTAATGTTTAGCTAAGACCGTAAATAAGGTTAAAGTGTTCATGTGTGGAAAATTTTTAAACTTTATTGAAATTCAGCCCCAAGATAAAGACTTAGTATTCAGAAATAATTCAGGATATTTTGTTCTCTAATTTAACATAAATGTGATGCAGGATTGTCACTGATTCTGACGGCAGGTTGAATTTTGTATGAATCATTTTGAAAACTTATTCTGTTTTTTTTTTTTTTACAAACTAATTGGCTTTTATTAGCTAAATATAAGTTGAAATGTAGACTGGAAAAGAGATCTAGAAATACAAATTTCTTAAATGTATTTACTCTTAATTTAAAATGAGAGCTTGCTGATGGAATTAGTGTTTTTACTCTTGAGATAAGATAATTAGATCATATGCACTTGAAATAAAACAATGCAATTGTGTTTTCTTATTTTAAATGTAAATTGTCTTGTTCCATTGGGAAAATGTATTTTACCTCCTCAATCCAAGAAAAAATACACTTAAGAAAAAAATGACTTATCTAGATTTTAATTTTATTTTTTTTCCCAGAAAGAAAAATATTTAGAAAATGATTTAAGAATTTAGATGTAGTTCTTTAGCCTATTGTCAGTAATGCAGAGCAGGTGAATCCTGGCCTGCAGGCTGAGCTTTCCAGGCTCAGGCTAGATTATCCCCTCAGGTTGTTTCTGAAAAGCCTCATCTTGTTGTGAAGCAGGATTACCAGAGCACTACGTGCTGATTTACCTCCTTTATCATAAAGCGGCTAATTTTGTAAACAATCAGGCGTGACATTTTTGATTCATAAGAGGCTTTACCCTCTTTATCCTTTCTCCTTTAGTGAAGCAAGACGTAAACATGCTTTATCTGCCCTCTCAGTTCTCATTCACTTGAGCAAGTGGAGGTGTGATCCGTGAAAATGTAGAAATGTATGCTCAGAGGCAGCGTTGCAACATGAGTTCTTGTTTGTTCTGATGTAATCCAGCCAAAGCTGCTGGAGAAAGTACACATGGCAAACTAAAGGCAGTCATCTGGAGTTTAGAGTTGGCTTTAAAACACAGAATAAAGGCAATTCGGGAGAGATGCTGTTGCATTGATTAAACTGTGCCGCTCTTTCCGGGCTAGTCTGAAGAGTACTTTAGGACATCCTATTTGGTATAACAAAAATCCTAAAAATGTAAGATAAGAAGCATAATATTTGGTGCTGAAAGATCTGAAGTACAGTTTCTGTTAAATGGAACGTCATGACAACTTTGATAAGGAGTTATTCTTCTAGTTCTCCGGCTACTGATGGGTTTGATCTACAGAGATCAAACATCAGACCAGTCTCTCATTCTACAGTAAGAATTTATCTGCAGTTTGGATCTTTAGAGCCGAAGCTTGACTGACAAGCTATGCATCGAGGCTTCTCCCTTACAGTATTGGTATTCTTTTGAGTACATTTTGCCGCTCATCTTTCAGCTCGATCGTTGCGATATCGGTTCAGTCGTTGATGTGACTAATGCCTTTGGTCATACAGTAAGGGCATCAGAGGGCTATGCTATAGATTCAGTGGCATCTTTGATCACTATGGGGGGTCTTTAGGACCCTCTGTCCTGCATGTTTTAGATGTTTCTGCTCAGCACACAGCTGCCTTCAGAAGCCTGTAAATTCAAATCTATGCTGGCATGTTAGCGGGGGGGGGGGGGGGGGGGGGTACGGGTTGAAGACCCCTGATCTATTGGATTGACCTCTGCATTTAATTATTTGTTAATCACTTCTGAAACGTATTCCTACAGTCATCATCACTCAGTCGGTGTTGGAATGAATTGGTCTGCTCCAGTTAATGTTAAATGTTTTTATCCTTTTGCTCTACATATTTGTTTACTCAATCCTCTGTGACAAATGTGGAAATGTCTCATTTTAAGTGTCTCAGGATACTAGTTTCTCAAATCTTTAATTTGACTTAAAGTTCAAAATATTCATGTAGCAAAATAATCAGACTGCGATAGTTTTTGTTATAAGAGGAAACTACAAGTTTTTTAACAGAGGAAACTATCAGCTTAAAGGACCCAGAGTTCATGATGCTTGATTAATAGAAGATTTATACATTTGTCTATTTGGAGTATAGATTTTGGTCGGTAAGTTGACTTTCATGTTGTGGATATGGACAGATTCTTGGCTAAAGGGAAGTGAGCTTTTGCTGCTGAAGACATTTTGCACGTACTGCTAAACCTGCAGTCTGCCTCTTGGATCAACTTCAGCAGCCATGGTGTGATAACAGCCACGTTCTGTTAGTGCTGAACAAACGTCGTTCTAAATATGGTCCCTTTGTTGCAACTGTGCTCACGGCACCGCAAAAGAACCTGCTAACAAACCAATCCAGAGTGCAGCCTTCTGCACCTGATGTGTTTTTTTTATTTTCAGTGTAGCTGACATAAAGACAGTCTGGCTGTCCAGAACTTGTTCTTGGCTTATCCTCCAGGACAAAGAGTGATCCAGTTCCAGGAGGAATTAAGTTTCCTTTCTCGTCTCCAACACAAAGCGAGCTCTTTCCTTATTCACTAGGACTTCTCGGCTCTTTGTATTTACTCAGCACATTTCCCCTTACTCATCCTTGCGCTGCAGAGAGGGCCTGCAGCGGTTTTCATCAAGTTTGGATTTGCAAGCAGAAAAGGCTAAAGGAGGAAAACAGTTCTATTATTGCATAACAGGAGCCAGATGTTGATGTGTACAATTTGAACCCTCCCTCTGTTTTTATTTTTTAATTTTTTGTCCTCTCCTTTATTTCCTAATGGAGTGAAACTCATAGTTACCGTCATTAAGATTGCAGAAGCTACCAGTTAAAGAGAAGCTGCTGTTAGTCTGTACCAGCTGTTTGACTCACCGACTGGTTCATGTGAGGCGGCGCACGTACTCTGACTTCCACAAAGGTTTAAAAAAGAAAACACCTACTCATTCATGATGACGTCACAGACTCCTGACTCATACAGCGAACAGGATGCTCCACTCAGCGGTACAAATGAATTAAGTTATTCTTGTCTGAATTTTAATGACTTTCCCCTTCCTATTAGTTTCAACAAACCCATTATGTTAAGATGGCTTCATAAAACCCTTTATTGGCATCAATAATTCATTGTACTGATGCAGATCTCGCTCTAGTAGAGAGGGTTTTCTCTGGAACTCTCCTTCACTTGCTTATTGAAAGTGAGGTTAAACAGCTCATAAGAAAGTGCAGCAGTCATATTGGTTATTCTGACCACATTTCTTTGTAATGTTAGTTGTGGCGTTTAACCACAACCATCATGAAGCGTCGTCATGGAAATTATTTAGTAACATCAGTCTGATTTCCTTGGTTTCCATTTTAGTTTTCAAGGCCTGACACGCGAACCAAATGAGTCCCAAACTAGCGTGTTTCTCCTAAGTGTGTGGTTTTCACATATAAAAAGGTGTTTCCATTTTATCAATGGAATGTTGGTCTTCTACAGTATTCTACGTAATCTCAAAGTTATTGTTGGTTGTTAGAGCTAAAATATACAAAGATTAGGGACAAAAATGTTGACTCAGTGCATTTTGCATCACTGTTTGTAGAAGAAGAAGCTCTTGACAAACTTTTAGTCTTTAAAAGGTAGACTAGGTTACCTAATGAATGAACCTACTTGGAGATGAATCTAGTGCAGTGTTTTTATTGTGCTGTGCAACAGGTTATTCAGCTTTCCACTTACATTTTCAGAGTTGAATCCCTTCCATCTGCAACCTTTAGTTCAGTCACTTTTGATTTCACTGCAACAAAACAATGTTTATTATGAGCCATAATAAAGATTTTATAGATATTGAAAGATGAAGAAAAAGGGGTTGGCCCATATAAAAATTTATAAACCACATACTCGAAGCTAAAACATTAATTACTTGTGCCAAGAGTGGTGTTCTGTTGTAAATGGTTTGTGCAGATATTCCATGAAAACGCACAGAACCTTTCATACTGTCTTTAAAAGTTAAATCTCTTATTTAGCACCGTTCAGTGGCTGCAGGAGCAAGTGGCTTTATCTGGTTAAATACTTCTAGTAATAAGTAGTTTATGGTCTGAAAAGTTTAATTTTTTTTTGTGATAAACTTATGTAATGTTTGGTTTGCATTTGTACATTTTATTTTTTATTTTATATGCTTTACTAAAATGTTCTAGTAGTAGAGTTGGATGTCTAACAAAGGAACACTCCGTCCTCCTCCTCTGTGGGTTTGTGGAAGAAGCGGCAGCTCTCATGTCTCCTCTGCTGCTGCTTCAGCAACAACAGACCCATTTGTTCCTCACATCGTCCATTGTTGCCTTCATATTAGCCAAACGGCTGAGCCACCACTCCAATGTCCAGCCTGGTTCTGGTTGCTGTAATGCACAAATAAAGTAAACTAACCACATGAATCAAGGCAATTTTCCTTTAGGCTAATTGTTGCCTCGGTATTAATTGGGTCTGCCCTCCCTTGGGCTTGTAGCTGACCTGCATTTAAAGCGTAGTGTTTTCCTCACTTTCTGTAGAGCTGAAGATAAACCCATTTAATCCGTCCTGTAAAAGAGACTAAGGCGATTACTGGTAATGACAGTTAGTTGGTTCGGGTTTTTTTTTTTTTTCCCTAATCTTTCTGGCTATGAAGGTGTTTACAAACAAGGAGGATCAGTAACTATTCCTGTAATGTCAGAACATTGTTTGGCAGCAAAAAACACTCAGAGTGGAGTAGACACTGACGTGTGTGTTCTAGTCCTTAGAACGGTCATTTCAGGCTCCTCCCCTTATAGGCTGGAGTTCTGCCACTTTTAGATGCTCCAATACGCCTGACCTCGGAGAGGGAGGGGGTTAGCTTGGCTCCATGCTCCTGGGACAGTTTAGCTGTTGGCTGTTAGTTTGACCCTGATGCCTTTAGGCCTCTGAGGATGTGGTGCTCAGGAGTAACATTTCAGTTTATATTGGATGGTGTGGAGGTTCTGTGTCAAAGTTTTAATTTGGTAAATCTAAGGCAGTGCAGGCGGAGCGAGATTGGTGCAATGATCTCACTGTAGCAAAACCAATGAGCTTTCCTTCTTTATCTGGTGGGACTGACTCCAACCCTTCAGATGGTCAACTGGCCCACTTAATGTCCTGTTTATGGACTCCTCTCTGTCAGATTGAGCCTTCATAAATGAACTAAAGCTCTGCGGCTGCAGCCTTGAAGCATCGCTGCTATATTTAGAAACAGGATAAACGTGGTTCGTCTTAATCTATATGTTGACCGGCTTGTGGATTCCTGAGAAGTCTGGTCGTTACTTTACTCTCCCCCATCTTCCTTCGAAGAGATTAGTGGAACAGTTTACGTAACGTCAGGGGAAAACCTCAGTTTGCCCTGCCAGATATGAACAAAGACTCAGGGTTTGTTTTAGTGAATCAGCGTCCAGCGGATCAAGATTCATCTGTCCTCCTCAAGCTTGTGGTTGTGGAAATCCAGCCATGTGTGCATTCTGCTGCAGGTCTCTGTGACCCCTCTGGTGCGAATGCAATGCAGGACCCCCACCCACTCTGAACGTGGCAGCCCTCCAGGACACACAGTACCGGCGCATTCTGCTGTGCTGACAGACACAACAGAGAAGTGAAGTGGCTCAGTGGTATGTCGGACTGCGTGCTCGTGCATCCAGAGCACCCCTGACCTTTACAATCTCTTGCCAAGTTTCAAGGGCAAAGCCACCATATTCTGAGGGCCTGTGGCCCTGCTAGGGAGACATCAGTTTAGCTTCTGAGATCTCCATTTGAACCTTTTTGTTCTGGCCTTCTCCAATTATCTGACCTTTATAAATAGATGTATGCTTCTATTTTCTGACGAGTGGGGGGAAAAAGGATGTTGGATGATGGTGCAGCTGGAACATTAACAGTTGTCTCTGTGCTCTCCTGAACGCCAATCAAAGGGGCTTTATTCTGAGTTATACCTGGAAGTTAAGTACTGGGAAGGCAGAGGTATTTTTGGAGAATATAATCTTAATGTTGAATTAAATGAAGGTTGAGCTGTTTCCTTTTTTAAGAGGAAATTGTGATTTGTATTTGAACCGTAGCCTTAAAAAACCCCTGATGGTGCAATATTTGAGGTGTCGTCACAGGATGCAGCATTTCACTTTTTTTCAAACTGTCAGTACTCCGCAATCATATAGGACAAATGTTCTTAGAAAATGTTTGTTTTTCTTTGATTTCAACAAGTGAGTAAAATAACTTGCAACAAGACTAAGATATTTATTTAAAAGGAGTCAAAGCTACTTGTTTTAAGGACTTAATATTCCTCTTATCTGCAAAAGTCCTTGTTCTGTTTGCAGGTAGTCTCATTTCCCACTTGAATTAAGGGCAAATTTTACTAATTTTCAGTTTGGTGTTGGCGGTGCTATGTAGCAATGGTGACACACTGCTGGTGATCCAGCAGGTTTCCTCAATACTAAAGCTGAATCATTCCTGCGGTCTGTTCATCCTCCTGTTATCTGCTAATGTCCGACTCCCTGCTGTTACAGCCAGACTGGTCAGCAGACGCTCTACTGTGGAAAGTTTTGATTAAAAAAAAAAACGAAAGTCAGACAAAGTTTAGATAAACTCCTTGTGATGCTGAAAATGAGTCTCCTTCACTCTGCAATAAATTCCAAGCAAAGAGGTTGCTGTTGGTGTAACCTGCTAGTATTTGGATTGGTACTTTCAGATGGGGGGGTGTCTAACCAACCTCTACTTTCTGACCCAACATGGCTGGTTTCTCTGCAGCTCCAAGGCCCAATGTCACAGGGTGTGTTTTTTTGTTGTTGCTTCTTTGCAGTTATTGAGATCTTAAATCTCGTCTCTCCATTTAGTTTGTTCTACCTGTGAATTTTGGGGTAAAGAATAAATTTAATGCTAACAAATGGTAAACCTTATATTTGAAACATTTATGCTACTTGTACAAACAAAGACAAAAAAAAAACATCAACAAAACTTAAGAGAAACTTGGTTTATTCTGCAGCAATCCTCTTGCAGTTTCCCCTCTCTCCCAGTACGGCTCTGCAGGCCTACTGGTAAGGAGCTGCAAGCTTATATTTTGAGTGTGTCGGCTCGGTTCCATCTGGAGGCTCATTCACTGGGATTCCAGCAAAAAGCTCAAGACGTGTAGATTTTTCTCCCTGCCTGTTTCACCACCCATTTATCACCTCCCTTTTTTCCGCTATCCAGCCCCTTCTGGCCAATGAAGTGGCAGTGTCTAGTTTTAGCTAGATGGCACCCTCTGCTGGCTGCACTGATCAATTATTTAGATGCATAAGATCCTAAAGTTCTATTTTTGTTTTCCTATGAGATGATTTTTAGATGTGATCATAGTGCTGTGTATTTTTTACTGAAAAGGTTGCAAAAAATGTTGGTTCTGCTTTGATCTGATGAATCAAATCCCATAATTTTTTTTTATCTGCCAGAGGGACACAGATTGAGCATGAATAATCTGCCATAACAAGAATGTTGAGGGATTTTTTAATCTATAGTGTTTTTTTAAATGAGCCACACAATTAGATGGTATTGAGTGACTTGTTGCAAAGAACATTTGATGCAACTGATGGAGTATTATACATCAAAGTTCAAAATAAACTCCTTAATGCATTCAGGAGTATTTCTTGGAAGAGTCTAAATTGATTACTATATAGATAAGAATTTTTTTTCCTTATGTTTTTCCAGGGAATTGCAAACAGAGCTACTGTATAAATGCGGGTTGTTTTAGCTGATTTTATCTGTTAATGTCTCATTCAGGTCCAATCAGCAGCGTCCTGGTGAACAGATTTGGGAGTCGACCAGTCATCATCGGCGGCGGCGTTCTGGCAGGGTCTGGGCTCATCGCTGCTTCCTTCTGCAACACTGTGGAGCAGCTCTACTTTTTCATTGGGGTAGTAGGAGGTAAGGATTCGGGCTCAGCTTTGGTTCCTGGTCGACTGGTTCCACTGTTAACCTCTCTTTGCCCTCTGCTTAGGTTTGGGACTGGCGTTCAACCTGAACCCCGCCCTCACAATGATCGGTAAATACTTCTTCATCCGCCGGCCCATCGCCAATGGTATCGCCATGGCAGGCAGCCCGGTGTTTCTGTCCACCTTGGCGCCAATCAACACGTGGCTGTATGAGGAGTTTGGCTGGAGAGGCAGCTTCCTGATCCTTGGAGGACTGCTGTTTAACTGCTGCGTTGCTGGCTCTCTGATGCGACCCATCGGACCCAAACCGCAGCCACCCCCCAAGCCCGAACCAGGAGCTCCAGCTCAGCCCAAGAAGACATTTATGCAGACCATGAACACCTTCCTTGACCTTTCGCTCTTCAAGCACCGCGGCTTCCTGCTCTACCTGATGGGGAACGTCGTCATGTTCTTCGGCCTCTTCTCCCCGCTTATCTTCCTCTCCAACTATGCCAAGAGCAAGGACATCAGCAAGGAAAAGGCTGCTCTCCTCCTGACCATAATGGCCTTAGTTGACATGGTTGCCCGACCTTCCATGGGGCTGCTGGCAAACACAAAGTGGGTCCGGCCCAGGGTGCAGTACTACTTTGCCGCTTCTGTGCTCTACAATGGCGTGTGTCATGTGTTTGCACCGCTCACCACGGACTTCTCCGGATTTGTGGTGTACGCCATGTTCTTCGGCTTTGCCTTCGGTTGGCTGAGTTCAGTGTTGTTTGAGACGCTGATGGACCTGGTGGGAGCCCAGAGGTTCTCCTCAGCTGTGGGTCTGGTCACCATCGTAGAGTGTGCGCCTGTGCTGCTGGCACCTCCTCTAACAAGTAAGTCTTCCACCACTTAATGCATGAAGTTTTGATGAAAAGAAATTACTTTAGAATAAGGAATAGAGAAGTGGAAGTTATGGTAAATGGAAACAAAAATATTCACTGAACTTGGTCATAAATCAGATTTTGTTTATTGATTTTTTGTGTGACAAGATGGTTACTTGCATCTTGCCACACAGACGGCAAATCACAAGGTAATTCCAAAAGAAGGTGCCTCTTTACATAATTTTTGCCTGTAAATTTTCAGGAAAGGGGTGAATTTATTTTTTTATGTACAACCAAAGACATGGGATGTCACTGTTGCCATAGAAATGACTTTCCTTTGCTAGTGGAGGGAAGTGGGTGTCCCGTTCTCATTTATTCCCCCCACCTTCAATCAAGGTGCCCTCCACAGCCGTGTATGTCACTTTATTGGTAGTGACACTTGATAGTGAGGTGGTATTGCATAGGTGGCTGTTTGGGACTGCAAAGGTCTTGAAAAGGAAGTGACTGAAAACATTGGGAGCCAGTGAGGGAAAGCAACGGACCTAGAACCGGACCGCGGGGCCCGGAAGGAGCGGCAGTTTGCTCCAGTTCTGGGGAAAATCGACCCAAACCCAGAAAACTGGGAAACGAATCTGTCAGGAAAATAATGTGCAGACAGAAACGGGAATGATTCACTTCGCGTTTACATTTCAAAACCTAATCCGAATCCAAACCGCTTGAAACCTCAGAGTTCCGTTCCGGTTCTGGAAAGGTTTGGTTTGAACTGGAGCCGTAACTACAATGCAGTGTTTTTTGTTTGTGTGTTTTTTTTTTTTTTTTTTTTGGACTAAAAAGGAAAAAAATTCAAATGCCATTAAATAATTGTAATCTGCTTTACACTTTATCTTTTTACAACAAAATGGAGATTAAGGTTGTGAGATGGAAAAACATGTTAACGGTTGAGGTGATATAGATCCTATTGAAAGTTCTGTCCCTTTAAATCTATGAAAATGAATCTAGCCATGAAATTTCAAATTCGTTTTGATTTGGAGGTTTCAATTTAGCAAACAAATCTTGGGCAGGTTTGCATTGCTTCATTTACATGAATATGTTGCTTGGAGTTAAAATCAAGGCATTTTTGCTGCATTCTTTTGTTTATAAAAGAGTAAACTCAACCCTTTATATGAGGCTTCTCATCTTCCTCAGTAAAAAATAGGACACACGACTAACTGTCCCATTTCCTCCTCTAGGTATGTTCTACAACTACTACCACCATTACGACTACACCTACCTCACCTGTGGAATCATCCTCATCGTGTCCAGCGTCTTCCTGTTTGTCGGAATGGGCATCAACTACCGCCTCCTGGACAAGGAGAAGAAGGAAGAGGAGCGGGAGGAGCCTAAAGAGGAACGCACCGCCATGTTGGAAGCTACCCTACAGACCAAATCCGAAGAAGCTGCGGCCAATAACGACTCTGGCGCCGTCACAATGGCTGACGTCGCCAAGATGGACGAGGACACTGTGTAAAGCTGGCGGACGGACTAAAGGAACGCGTGCACAAACACACGAGCAGCAGTCACAGCCACGCACCCTTCTTCACAACCCTGAGGCCATAGCAACATTTTATTTTTCTCTGTAAAGTACGGAGGCAGCGCCTCTACTCGCTCGGGTCGCTGTTGCTCAACGGTTCGAAGCACACGTACATTTATTTTGTACATGAGCACGAATGGACTGAAACGGTTAACAAACGAGGACTTTCTCTCGGGGTCTGGAGCTGCTGCAAACATTCAGAACTTACACACTGCTCTCTGTAACCCCGCCCCCCAGATGGAGTACAGACTGAATGAGCCCATTTATTTTACTAACTGCTTCACTGTAAGGGCTGTATGTAAACCAGCCCACTTCGTGTTATTTTAGGGACGTATATCTATTAGCTGTGAGCCTTGATGCTGCAGAACACATAGGAGGGTGATCTAGAGTACTAACACATGGGGAGTAGGTGCTGATGTGTTTTAACCCTTGTTTTTTTTGTTTTGTTTTTTTTACACGGACTATGATACAGACAGACATGTCCCCAAGGATAGTATCTTGTTATTTTTATATGAAATCTTCCAGAGAGCGGTTCATCCTGTGACTTTAGGATGACAAAAAAACCACCCGGCCTCTTCTACCCAACTGAATTCACCACCGTCTGCCTGCAGGTCGACTCTCACCAGTGTTCACCAGTTTGGAGCACCTTATTGTGAACGGTTTTATCAGACGCGTTGGCACAATTTAGTGATTACATCATAAATTAAACTAGATTATTGAATTATTCATTTGAATTTTTAATGACTATCTTGATGTAACTGTAGTTTTAATAAATTTTAATGTATTTAGTGTAGTTTTTGTTTAATAAGCCAGGTTTTATCATTTCAGCCACTGCAGCCTCATCTGGAAGCTAAACAAAGGGTCATATCGTACATATTTTTATAAAAAGGGAGAAACTCTCAGGCTGCCATTTCAGGACAGTTATAACCCAGAGCAGACGGATCAGATCAGGGGTGCATTTTTTTTTTTTTTTTTTCCTACATTTAGCTTTTAAAGGTGAAACACTACTGCTTTGGTCCATAGCCCTAGCTCCTCCTTTTAATCGTACACGACCAAATGTAAGATGTCAAACGGTTTTGGGCTCTAACTGTACTAATTGGAAGCTGTTTGGGTTTTCTTTCTGTTCGTTTTGACTTTTATCCACATGATTGATTCTGACCCACATCTCTCCAGCTTCATGGACTGGTTTCTGCTTCAGAGAGGCCTGCTAAGTGTACACATTCCTCTGCTCTCAGCCCACATTTTCCTTCAATCACAGCAGACAGAAATTATTTTTATAGAAAACGAGATGCTGAAACCGCAGAAAAAAAGTTTAACATGTTTTTATTTCCTTTGCTAAATGGTACTGTATTTGGCCACAGCACCTTTTTTTTTTTTTTGCCTTGTTTCAAAATGAACAAATGTTACGTTTCTGGAAAATGAGTTGTCAATTGCAGTGAGTTTGTTGTGTTTTTGGCTGTTCAATAATAAATGGCTTTTATGACCTCAAAAGACCTTATTTATTCTCTTTAATAAGCCTTAATTTTTATCAGTATGAAAACAAAATACTTGTAGCTTGTTGGGCTACTTGTTTTGTTTTCAGTGCATCTCTGGGACTAAAGGGTAAATTGGTCATGACTATACTGCCCAGTGTAAGGCTATAGGGTGGAAAATTAATAATTTCTAGGTCCTCAGTATTAAACTATATTGGTGGAGGCTGGGCTCCTGGCCTAGTCCTGTTTATTAAATCTATAAACTGAATCCATGGGAGTTGCTGCATGGACCTTACATGAAGCAAAGTGTATCAGAGACCAAACAAAAAAAATGCTTAAATGTTTTAATGCATTCTAAAAATCTTTTTCCATCATTGAATCACTGCTGAACTTTGTTAAAACTTTATCTATCCAGTTAAAATGTTGCCACTGATTCTACTTCTATTAACATTTACCTTAGCTCTGCTCAGTTCTGGGGATCGCATTCCAAAACCTAAATATTGGCCTTTGATTCATTTTAAGCCTCATCTTAAAGTCTTTAGGTTTTGTCTTGCTGGAACCAAAACCTTCATAAAATGCATGCCTCATCCATTTGTTTCCATTGCATAATGACATCCTACGGTATGCAATCTGTGTTTTTTCGGATTGAGGGGAAAGACTATGATTTTGACCATACTGAACTATGCTTGGAGCTGAAGGAAAGCGGATAACCTTGAACTGGTATGAAATTTCTCTGTTTAACAAATTAGGTGAAATAGAGCAGCTAACTTTGAATTTATAACCTAAAATCAGCAGCTTAGCAGTTGGAACTGAGATCCCTAGACATCCTAAGGATTGTCTCACCCACCTGCACGTTCATCGAGCTTCTAGAGCAGGGATGTCCAACACCAAACCTCGGGACCTGTTGTCCTGCACGTTTTGGACGTGTCCTTAATACTTTCTAGAATTGCATTCCTTACAGTGGCAGCACGTTGGAGTAACTCTGCTTGGCGATATTTTCTCAAGAAATTCAGCACCTCTGATGGTGGATCAAAGTATCTTTTTCTCTTTTTTTTTTTTTTACATCTCTGTGAGAGAGTCTGTGCAGCTGAGAGGATTTTGGCCCATTTTTTATTTTTGAGGTCTATCCATACCATGCTGACACCCAAGAGGAGTTAACATTTCAAAAGCTTAAATACTTATGCTAGTCCCATCTGAGTAGATGAGGTACAGCGGACGCTCAAGCCATCAATCAACATGAACAGTGAGAGTGATGTCGAAGGCCTAATGCCTTGTCCCCATACTAAATAAATCTCAACCAACAGTCCTCAGTGACTATAGACTAGTTGATCTGACATCCCTGATCATGAGATCCTAGAGAGACTTCTGTTGGTTGAGCAAGAAAATGCATTTAAAATGAGCCATCTTTATCAATTCCAAGGGGAGATTAAAATGCTGTAGTAATCATCTTCTTTGTAATCAGATGCTGTAGATGTTAATCGCTGCAGGCAGGAAGAATCTTCTGTAGCGATCTGTCTTCTACCAGATTCTGAGAAGTCTGACTGAAGACACTCTGTTGGTGTTTAACAGTCCCCTAAAGAGGATGCTGATTGCCCACAAATGTTCTTAATGAAATGATCTCCAGAGGTGCCTTCTTATTTCATGATATATTTGCTCTCTATTTACCTTGGTGTTCTGCTACCCTTAAGCCAGCATGAACAGCTCATTAAACTTTGCAAACTCTACATTGCAAAATTATATTTTGTCCAGTATTTGATTTAGACAGGTCAGTGGTTTTTAAAGGCAAGTATTTTACTTTTTTATTAAAGTCTCAAACTGAACATCCTTCAACAACCATTTGCAGGTTACATTTACGCTTTTTTTTTTTTTATATCTTTGCATGTACAAGCGATTTGACTATTCCTTTGATAACAGACTTGCTGATGAGCAACGGTTTGTCGGGTCATCAGGAGTTGGAGGTATGTGTCGCTGTGGAGTCATTTGGGACAGAGCTTTGTCTATGCGACGGCGTCCGACAGAGCAGCAGCAGACGGATCTCCGAAGAGACGCTGCTGGAGAAGGCGGAGTAGATCCAGGGGTTGGTGCACGAGTTCAGGCTGGCCAAGAGCATCAGCAGCGTGAACGCTGTACCTGTAAACACACCCAGGTAGAAGAAGAAGGCCTTTGCAGGTGTCTATAAATAGATGCACTACATTCGTTTGGATCAGTGTGAGTATTTCTATGTAATGCAGCCATTTAACAAAATTCAAAGATGGGAACCCCTGAGAAAAAGTATTTGAGATACCAGAGAATAACTGTTGTTTCCCATCAATCAGAATTGCTGAGATCTTCCACAAGTAGAAAAAAGAGGGTCTCTTTTTCAAAAAATGCATACTCATACTTTATAAGGTTTTTCTCAACATAAACAATGTTTGAACTGATAGTTTTGGTATCAACTTAAAAGAAAAGTCCTGCTGGATGATGTTGGATGTGAACTTTTAAGATTACATCATTCTTGGCCTGAGTAAATGGGATTTAAATGCCCAAAAATATAATTCCCAGGAAAGAATATTTAAATAAGGAAAAAATCTCAAATCGTAACATCTGAGTAACATCTGCTGCTAGTTGCATCCACACAAGCCAGAAGCTTCCTCTTGGATACAACTGGCATCAGTTATAGTAGCAGGAGAATTAATTGAACAAACATAGTATCTTCATGGAGCGGTTGGAGGTTAAAGCCTTCTGAATTTCAAGGTTTATCAGCAAACACTTGTTATTGTCAAGCGTGGAGGGGAGTGGTATTGAATTGTGCTTACTGACCATGGCGCCATCTGTCTCTTGGGTGAAGCTTTGCTCAAACAGGGTCTTCAACAGGATCCAACCCGCTACCCGCTGTCCTGCAGGTTTTAGAGGTTTTCTTGCTCAAGCACAGCTGATTTTAATTGAAAGTTGATTAACAGGCTGTTGGTCTACTGCAATCATTATAATCAGCTGTGCTAAAGCAGGGAAACCTCTAAAACCTGCAGGACAGCGGGCCTTGAGGAGCGAGGCTGGGGATGCCTGGGTTAGGTTATATCCAAGTAACGTCTTCCTATGGGCAATGACTTGAAGACACAAACTAAACTGTTCATAATGTGTTCTGTATGGTACGCCAGCATTCATAACATGTAGGCGAATCACTGTCCCGCAGACATATTTTTTATATTTATATATATTTTTTTTTTAAACAAAGTGGAGAGTGTATGACGTCATCCGCGCGTGCCGGCTACCATTCATTCATCCTGTCCGCTGAACTGCTGCTAGTTTTACTCACATGCCTGGAAGATGTCTAGTGCTACTACCGCAGATTATCTCTCTCTCGAAATGGAATTGAACGATTCAGATCAGCACGCCAAATGAATATAAGGTGTAGAGCGTAGCCGTCTGTGGCCCGGGCTGCCTGTCACAACTCCAGTCCGGCGCGCGGATGATGTCATACACGCGCCGCTTTGTTTTAAAAAATATAAATATAAAAAATATAACCGTGGATGTCTGGGGGACAGTGATTCGCCTACATGTTATGAATGCTGGCGTATCATAAAGAATAAATTATGAACAATTTAGTTTGTGCCTTCAACTCATTGCCCATAGGAAGACGTTACCTGGATATAATCTAACTGAATATCTTCAGAACAGCTCCAAATGACACAAAACTTATATGGGGGAGTAGAATATGATGTAATAACGTAAAATCAAGGCGCCAATGTAAAAAAAACCCGTGTTTGATGGCAGGAACTTAGGTGAGGTCAGCCAGAAAAAAAAGGTTTTTATTGCTAAAGAATTGACCTTAAACTACCAAATCTTGCTGTTTTCTAAGATTTTCAAACAAAACATTACTGCTTTAACCTAGCTTTTTTTTTACCAGGGTCTCTGCTGTCTTTTTCTACAGTTAAGGATAGAGTCACATTTTTTTAAACCTGGCAACGACAAAAAAATTTTCAAGTCCTGATGTACAAATCTTTTTAATCTTTAACTCAATGGTATGAGGGAAAATAACAACTTGGGTTGAGACACTTGCAGGAACTTAAATGGAAAGATACATTTATTTCCTTTTGTGTATGTGGAGTGTACCTCTCTGAGGGGGGTCAGGGTCCCATGCGGCCCAAAGCTGCACACTGAAGAACGGGGCCCAGCAGATGGAGTACACCAGAACGATGACCAGGGTCATCCTGACAGTTTTTGACATGGCAGCCGTTACGTCCCTACCCCTGGGTGGTTGGCCTTTATGAGGGTGTGTTGAGCAAACAGTAGAGGACGCTGTGGAGTCAGACTGCAGAATATCACAGTCATGTTCTAAAAATTTTTTACAGAATATTAAAAATATTTAATGAATATATAAAAAAAAACTGAGCTAAAAGTGACACGATCTCTCTCACCAGCACAGCAGCTGTTTGTTTCACACTGTGAGGCCATAGTGCTGGACCTGAGCGAACTCATCGGGAGGGTCTGACAGACTGCAGCGTCTGTGGTGCTGTGACTCCCAGGGTTATTGACAGTAGGAGGTGAGACCTTAACCTTGATGCCAGACCTCTCTCGTCCTCCTTCTAGATCCTCACTGTCTGGTCTGGACAGAGGAGGAAACGTGGGGGACAGGCGGCGCTCGGATTTCCTGTACAGACTGTGATGAATCTCCTTGAAGATCCTCACCTGATCAAACATGACATGAGAGAGTTCCAGAGGAGATATTTCTCACATCACCCCTGCTATGGCCCACCTTTAATTACCTGACAATAAGTGATGATGAGGACAGGGATGATGAAGATGGCCATGGCCATCCATGTCACGTAGGCTTTGAGGCCCCAGGTTGGGGCAAAGTGTCCCCAACATTCATAGACCCCAGGAGCCACTTCAGAACGGGAGAAGATAAAAACCTGATGAGCAAACAAGTGAGTGGGAGCAGTTAGTTCATCAGCTGCTATCCAGATGTTAGAGCAAACATCAGGTGCAGACGTATGGACAGGCAGGCAGCAGTTAAGAGTTTCTAACACAATAATCATAACT